AGCCCCCCTGAGGGTCATGGGAACAACAGATAGGAGGGATTTCGAGGGGAAAAATAAACCAAGTCTACAGCCAAGGTGTGTCTGTGTGTGCAGGGTGTGAGGGGAGCCAGGCATGGTTCCAGTGGTTATCCAAGTGCAGAGGATCCAGAGCCTCCTTCTCACACCAGTGCTTGGCATTCCAGCTTTTTCAAAGCTTATTACAGAAACATAATCAAAATACAGAATGTTTTCTCCCAGAAAATGAGCCATCATTCACCCCCTATTTGTGCAGAGCTGTATCCCAAGCACTGCTTTTCACAGTCCACTGCTCCACAGAGCACTGCACACGGAATTAAACACGGAATTAAGGGTGTCTGAGGAGCACAAAGGAGACCACAGAAGCACAGAGGTAGAAAGCTTCAGAGAACTAAATCTGAGTTACACAATCATCAGTTCCTACATACCTGGCATGACAAACACCTCAGCAGCCTCTCACCATCCTGCAGGGTCACACCTGGGTGTTCCCAGCTGCAGGGACCACATTCCCACAGGAATCAGCTCCTTCTCACTGAAGTGCTCTGGCCTTGCTACATCTGGTGCCTGACAGAGAACAAGTGACTAACGGCTCATGTCTTAAACCTTAAGTAGTTTTGTGTCATTGTATTTAGCAAGTGAAGAAATAAAGAGTGAATGATAAAGCTTCACAAGAAAAACGAGTGAGTATGTGCACAAACATAGGGAGAAATCTCCAGCTTCCATCACCAGAGTGAATTCTGAGGGAAAACCACCCCAATAAACCAGTGGCAAAAGCTGCCTCAGTTTGGTAGATAACGCTTCAGACAAAAAACCCCCACCAAAACTAAAACAACCACCTACCAAAAAACAACCTCCCTCAAAACACTCTGCCTTCATCTGTTTTATTTAGGAACTTTTCCTCTTTGTAAGGTGATAACGTGGAATTTTACTTTATGATCTGTAAGTGCAAAAGAAAAAATAATTAAAGAGATGTTGCCTCCCCCTTGTCACGATAAATAGTCCTAAAAAATCCCCTCAGTGGCGTGTTTTAGAGAGTCCTTCCCAGAATTCTGGATACCTCTGCTGGTAAACCTTTCCAGTAACAATTTTGACAAGTAACTGAAGCACATTCAACAGCAAATGACAATGTTGTTTCTGCCCTGGGACTGACCTGTGTATTTTTTATAAACAATTTAAAATTTAAGACTTCTAAAGTCAAAGAGACTAAATAGATCAGACAACCGGTAAGGAACAAACACTTCCCATGGGTTCCACCCCGTGAGGCAGCAGCAGCTCCTGCTTTTGCCCATTCCAGCACTGCCACCAACACTTAGATCAGTCAGAAATACTTCAGCCTTGTTCTCTCTTCCACGGTTATTCAGCAAATATCTGAGAAACAGCACAAGCAGAAAACCTGAAGTACTTCAGAGTCAGAAACAGGGATTCTCAGCAAAACCACTTGTAAGTGTGTTATGGAAAATACTCTGCAGCAAGTAACTGGTATCTACCATCCCGGGGCTATTGCATAAATCAGACTCTGGTTATCCAGGATTGAGTTCCTGCCCATCTTCCTTCCCTGCAAGTGGGAATTACACACGGAGAAAGTTCAGTCTCAAATCTGGCCACGTGGATCAGAGATTTCTTGGTGTCTCCTGTTTCTGTCCAGATGGACCATCCTTTCTTAGTGTCTCAAGCCATCTCCTCTCCTCAGCTCTCCCTTTAAGGACTCAGCCTTCAGTCTCAGCATTCCTGAAGGAACAGAACACGGATGCACAGCACTCCCAAACGTGGTGACCCTGCCTGTTTCCTTGGATTGGTGAGTGTGGTTGGGGGTTCCGGGGGTTCTCAGGTCTAAGGAAGCATCAGAAGCAGAACTGAGCAGATGCATCTGCAGGAGCCCTGGCCAAGGCCCTCCAGGAGGTGACAGGTCACAGGCAGAGGATCGGGGAGCCCTCGTGGTCGGAGTCTTCCTCCCCCTCTGGGATGCGGGGCAGGAGAGCGGAGCGTGTCAGCCCCCAGAACTTCTGAGGGGACATTTCCTTCTTGGTGGCTGTGAACTTCCAGCCCATGTGGCTCCCACAGATCCTGCACTGGGCTATAGTCCAGGCATACCTAAAACACAAACCAAAAGGCTTCCTTTGGATGGAAGGAAAAGGCACTTTAAAAACACTTCATTGGCTAAGAAGTCCCAAGCTGAATTTGCAAAGACAATCCAGGTGCCCAATTCCCACCTAAAACCTTGCAAACTTAAAAAAATTGAGAAAAAAATTCCCACAAGCTCCTCACCCCCAAAGCAGCCTTCAAAGAGAGGAAGCAACAACATTTCAGCAGCTGAGGAGATGCTGAGAGCCTCAAAGAAGGGTCAGAAAATGGTTCTCTGAGTAAATTACTTAATGGGAATAAAAGGGACTTTTGCCCTGCTCTTAAAAAAACAGGGAACTGCACTTCCCACAGCAACAGAGCTTTTCTGTAACAGTTTTAAAGGGTAGAACATGAATATTTCAAAGCCCTCACAGAAGAGCTGAGAAAACACAAAAGGATGAGAAATATTAACTACAGGTATTAGAACCCACAAGTTTTCTTCTTCAGGGAGTGTTAAAATGTGCAAGTCTTGGGACAGAAATTCCACACACCCTCCATGTCACTGCTCAGTGCTATGTGACAATCCAGGGAAAAATCCTGGTCATTATTAGGCAAACTTTTACATCTTGACAGTTAATTGTGCTACTCAGAGAGACTGGCTCATTAAAAACAAAATAAAATCCGAGATAATCAGAGCAATACAAATGTAACTTTTAATTTTACAAAACATTTATTCAGTTTTCAGAGCTAAAAAAAAAGTATTTCAGTAGAATAAATATATCTTACTAAAATACTTCTTAAATAAATAGTATAAATACAGAATAAATACATTCTATAAATATAGAATAAATATATTCTGAATCTATATATTCTGATTTTCATTTGCATTTTCTGCTGAAAGAAAGCTGTGTGAAAACAATTATTTTAGTTGCAGCTTATACAAAACTATACACAAAGAAACTCCCAGACAACCAACTATTCATAAACTCCCAGATCACCAACTAGTGATCAGACTCTAAGATACGTTTTAAGATCTGAAGATTTTCCTATTTTAAAAACATTAAAGATAAATTCTGTAAATATTTGATGGGATTTTTTTCATTTTATGCTGTGTTTTGAATAAGTCTAAATTTACTCCCTTGTTTTTCGTATGAGTGAAATGATGACACGTGTTTAAAAATTAAATATTTAACTACTCCACTGTCACAGAAATACATTTCCATCAGAATTTCTGCCTTTTCCTGGTAAAATCTGAGTGTTCTTACCCAGGGAACCAGCTGTGCTCTGTCGAGGGCCGTCCACTGAGATTCAAATTGCAGGCTTTATATACAGTGAGGGTTTCATGGATGTATCCATGGGGATTCACATAGGCTGCCATGGGGCCACACAAGGATAAGCTGCAACACACAATTAATGGCAGCAGAGTTCAAGGAAAAATCAAAAAACAAACTCTGGCACATGTAAATAGAGGAGGGGGGAAAGTACCTTTAATTATATTCTTAAAAACTGAAAGAAAATATTTAAAATAATTTAAAATGTCATTTGTCCCATTTTCTTAGAATTGCAGCGAGGTATATGATAGACTCATCAGTTATTTTACTTGCTGTTTTTAAATAGCAACTGCCAATAAAAGCAATTAAAATCTAACTAACAGTCAGAAAAATGTTCATTTATCACACCAACTTCTCCTCACCTTCTGTTAAAAGTACATCACATTGACACAGTAGGAATTGTGGCTTCTGCAATCCATTATTTGATTAGAAGATAAGAAATGGCTTTTAATTACGACATCAGCTCCTTATCACACTGATAAAGGAAAACTGTGGGGAGTCTTTGTTAAACCAAGACATCTTTTAACCTTCACATTATCACAGGGGATGGGCTGATAGCCAAGATTAAAATAGTGACAAAACTGCCAGAAGCAGCAATTATTTGGGAAATCTACAGTCTCATTATTGTTAAACAAGGAAGATATTGTGTAGTTCAAACACAGAATGGGACCATACTGTAGTTATTAGGGATAACCCAAAATTCTTAAAATAAAAAAGAGATCACAACACACCTTCCTTGCATGACAACACCCCGGGAGCCTATTTATATCACCCAATTAGTGCATTTTAATACCCTGTTGACACATAAAAGTGATGATGGAAGGGCTAAGAAGTAAAACTTGGGATCTCATAAACTTTATTCAGAGACAAGAGGATGGAAAAGTTTCATGCAGCACATTTCTATTTCAAATGCTTTAGTGCAAGGTGCTGGGTGTGTGGCACCACACTAAATTCTGTTACAATATACCCCAGATTTCCTCACTTTTTATTAAAAAAAAATTAAATAACCAGTTTTATTTTGTAAAGAAAACTCCCTATAAATATTTACTTCCATTTTATTCGAGCTGTGCAAAACACAGCAGTTATGAGACATGACCCAGCTGAACCTGCTTTGCTGTGCCAGGGTTTCTGATTCAAGAACCTCCCAAAGATGAAGTGCAATAAACTCACCTGAATATTTCATTCTTGGTAGTTATTTCTGTGTCTTGGCATTGCTTACAACAGAGAGATGTACACTTGGAAAGGGAAAAAAGAGGGTCAGTCCATCCATTTCCAGACACTTGTCAGCAGTGGCAAATAATAAACATGTCTCTCTCTTTCCCCCAGAACAGGCTTTGTAGCAATTATTTTGCTTATCTGAGCAGCAGGCACTTATGTTTTCTCTTTCCATGAAAGGATATTTTCTTCTATGCATTTTACTTATTTAAAAGTTAATTATTATCTAAAAGACATCACAATTTTTACACACACAGAGATCCACACACAGTCTTGTATTTGACTACACAGAGATAATAAATAAACGAGCCAACCTCCCAAGGTCTCGAAAAGCTAATTTAGAAAAAACAACCTTTGCTCTTCTAAACTGCAGCACAGAAAAGGCAGATGAGTACAAATGCAATCATTAAGTCTTTCTAAAAATTTCAGAGTACTGTAGATCAATGGGTTTAATTTCCTCACAAAAAATAGGTAAAACATATTGATCTTTCTCTGGGAGATTAGAACAGATTAATCCATCTTCTACAATTTCTAGAAAGTAGAACCAAGCAATTCATCACTGCCCAGAAAATAAGCACTTAACTCAGCTTAGTAAATTAGTGAATCAGCTCCTATTAATTTTCAGGAGGTGCAGTACTGCTTTTTAAGGGTAACACCTGTAAAATTCCCCCAAAATGATCCACTGCATTATGGATTCAATTTGATATCAGTGAATCAAGTTTATATCAAAGAAATGGATCAGGCCTCAGATCAGTTATATTACTGGGAATTACATTCTGAACAAGCCAGAGCACCCTAAAGAACTCTGGTAAAAAAAAGAGTGGATTGGACCAAAATAGATGTTGTTGAAAAAGCTGTAAAAAGCTATAAATGCACTCAGCAATCTCACACTATTACAGAACAGTTAAACACATTTACAGGCTATAATGGCACATGTTGATGAAGAAAACACCTTTTTAGTGCAGGTTAACAATCAACTTTACCTTCTATTTTATGAGGGTAACTTTAGCCTTGTCACCTTGGAATTTATAGAAAATACAGAATGTACTGAACATGAACAGTAGCACCTGAATAGCAGAGTACTTTCAGAGTCCCTGACTCAGGAAAGATAAATGAAGTTTAATCTGGTTACAGAGCCTCAGGCAAAAACCTGCCCATTTCTGTCTCAGAATTTGGAAGAGATGTTTTCTGTCTCCACTCTCTGTATTTTCCCTTTTACATTTTTTGGTGCCTGAACTTTGGGAAGAGGAACAGCATTAAAATGATACTGTGGTTCTCTTTTCCTCAGAAACAGGCAGCACTTTTTAGGCAAACAGGTAAAATTTCCACTGCTCTGTATCAAGCAGATAGACAATATTATTATTATTAATAAAGCATATATTACTATCAAGAAATGTACTGAATAAAAATAAAACATTTAGAGTATCACAAGGCCATGGCAATGGAAAGAAGGGAAGGGAAGACAAGTTTTTTAATATCGTAACAAAGAATTACCTGACAAGTTAATACATGTCTTTTGGAAAAAAATCCTCATAGTCCAATATTTAGATTGATACTCAAGAGATCAACAGTACAAAGGTTTATCTTCTGCTACAAAATCCCCAGGTTTCCATGGCACACTGATCCTTGACTGCAGTGTCTATATGGGGTTATGATGTTCATAAGATGCTTATGAGCAACACTGGACTTACAGCACCATCTCTTGGCTGAAAAAAGTGCTGCGAGGTCTTGAAATAGTGTTTCTAACCAAAGCAAATATTATTTGTTTCATGTTTGCTGCCAAACAAAATCAAGCACTGAGAGACCACTTTCCTTCTTGAGCAAACTTAAAGGGGAGGGAAGAAACAAGAGAAATTCACTCTCTAGAAGGATGAGCTGGAACATTAACAGGTTCTTGTCAGATTGTAACAGTCACTGCTGTAATTCTTTATGGCAAGAACAATTTAAGGGCAAGGAAAGCAAAAATACTCACTTTGTTCATGATGTCTAACTCACAGCGGAGTCTCTGCACAGCACTGCCTATTTTGAGCAGCTGGATACGTAAAGCATCATCGATGGGCAGGCAGGCAGCAACTCTGTAAGAAAAATCTGGAAATGAGAGACCAGCAGGTCTGTTAGAATTCAACAGAGAAACCAAACCCACTACTCCTGCTTACTCTGTAAAAGGCAATTATCTAAGCTGTGTTCTCGTAGGAAATTAAAAAAAATAATAAAGCAAACTCGAGTTTGTAAAAATCAATAATTTCCTACCTATTGGGTTTGTTGGAAGAGATTCATCTTTAAGGTTTTCATCCCATTCATGTAGCTGCCTCTTGACTCTTTCCATCAAGGTTTCCTTTTGTTAGAAGAAAAGTCTAATTTAAATACATAGGTATTTCTGGTTTCTTAGGAAAAAAAAAAAGGGAAGCAAAATGTAGAGTAAGGTATTTTCCCTAAGTGGACATGAGCTTTTAAGACTTGCAGTAATTAAAGAATCATTTTGTATCTACATATTTTAACTACTTTTTCTCTGAGACAACACAGTAGGAATCAGAAGCTCCAAAATCCACCCCAAAAACATGCTCCAGAAGGAGGGAACAACCACACAGAGGGGGAAGCCCTTCCTGATCTTTTCACACTACACTGAAAAGTATAAAGTGCTTTAAAATGTAACTTATGAGTCAACAAAATTAAAGCTTTTATGTTATGCAATCCTTAGATTTTACAGCCATAAAACTACCTGAAGGTTGTTTGATAATACACAGGGTGGACTTACAGCATCATACAGAGAGTAGAGCCAGGGAGGCCAAGATGTCAAACTGGCACAGTGGAACTTCCTCTGAAAGCAAACCCAGAAATATTAGTTCTTTAACATAAGCAGATTTTAGGGACAGAAGATTTCAAGGTAATTTCCCTTTTATATGTCAAAAACAGTGGGTTAAATAATAAATCCATATATAAACTGGCACAGGTTGCCCAGAGAAGCTGTGGCTGCCCCATCCCTGGAAGTGTCCCAGGCCAGACTGGATAGAGCTTGGAGCAACCTGGGATAATGGAAGGTGTCCCTGCCCATGGCAGGGGGTGGCACTGGGTGGGCTTTAAGGACCTTCCCAATCCAAACATCCTGTGATCCTATGAAAAGCAGGATGCTGGCATCTCCCTTCCCCGTTGTGCCTCCTCCTCTAGGGATGAACAGATGGAATTTTATATTGATTTTCAAAACACCATCAGAAATTAAAAAAAAACCTCAACCAAACCCAGAGAGTAACTTCTAACCTTCTGGTACTTCTGCCACCACTGCCGGATGGCTCGGTCCTGCCAGGAGGAAGGCTTGGGAGAGGGGAACACGTGGCACCTGCTGAGGGACTGCAGCTGCACTGCTGCCATCGTGGAGGGCAGCACTCGCTCGGGAAGGATCTGCACCTTGGCCTGCTGGATTCTGAGAGAAGAAAGAAAAGGGGGAGCTGTACACACAGATCCAGGAGGTTAAAAACTGCACTGGACTGCTTGTAGAACATAGGCTTGGGTAATAGATTAATCACTACACAGCAGCAGAGAATTTAAGCAGCAATCCATTCCATCACATCTTTTTTGTCTTTATATTTTAGAGCACTGTTGGGATTGTGATGGACAGAAATATATATTGTTGGGATTGTGGTGGACAGAAATACAGACAGATTGGCAGTGGCAACGCAGTAGAATATTCCACCATCTCAGCACTATGTATTTAAGATTTTTGTCTCCTCAAGTTCCTTTTGGTACAAGCCAGTATTCAGCTCTCACATCTCAAACCCTCAAAAGGTGGTTCAGCTGAAATGCAGTTTGCTATCTTCAAACCACAAAAGCTTATGTGCTCAGCCAGAGGTCAGAATCAGCAGAAATAGGATATAGACTCTGATCAGCTTTTAATATCCCACCATCAAATCCCTATTCCACAAAGAGTTCAGCATATGTTGTGTGGCTACTAAGAATGCTGCCCAGGGGGAAAGACTTCACTTTTTATCAGTATTATGCAGCAGAAATACTGAAATATTGAGGTGTGTGTCATTACAAATTTCCAATTTTATTAGAGGGACAACATTGAACTGGTAACTTACAATAAATTATAAACTGATGTTTTGCCATAAGCATTTAATCAGAAAAACCAGGAATTATGGAAATGTTTCTCTTGCTCAGAAGCTCTGGACACTGAATCCTCAGCAGCTGCTGCTACTGCAGTTGTCCAAGTACTGCCACCATGTGTCCAAGCAGTGGTTTTCCTGAGCTGTAAAATTTGGAGTGTGTTATTTGTAACCAAAGGTTACACAGTGACAACCAGCAAGCAGCACAGGTATTCTTAATTTCTTCAGCTGCAGGTCATAAAAGCATAAAAATGCTGAGTCCTGGCTGCTCCCAGGCCTCTTCCTAAAGCAATGCCACTATACTGAACAGCAGGATACAGGTGATTAGCTTCAGATTTACAGATTTAGAGTAACACTTTATAAGCTTTGCAGAAAAGATTGCAGAAACCTCTAAAAATTGTGCTAAGAATTGTCACATGCTCACAGGATCAATGGCTGGAGCCTGCACCTCTGGACAGAGACAATGACAGAGCCTCATAACAGAGGGCATGATGTCAAAGGAAATGAGAAAAGACTCAGCATATTCTTACTAAATGTTAAGTATCTTATCCATTTTTATAAATGGACAAAGGTATTAATTACATAATATGATAAAAACAGTCAGAAGAGCCTCCAAATATCACAGGGATCCCACTGGAACATGGAAAAGGACTAGGAAACAGGAGAATACTCCTATCAAAGCTGACTTGAGTGTGTCTGACAAGCACATGAAGAGAATTGCCAAGCAATAGCAGGAGAAGCAGCACATTTTTATCAGTGAAGCCTCAGTGAACAGAAAGGAAGAGTAAGACTTGCTGAAGGTCAAGATGTACTAAACTGTGACAATGGTTAAGCTGAACAAGATTCAGGATTTGAGAAACTGAAAATGATGGGCTGCCTGCAGTTAGCAAAAATAAAGATCCTTGTTTCATAGTCAAATATTTATGCACAAATCTCAGTGGGCTTTTGGTTCACCAAGGAAAAAACGCCAGAAGTCCTTAATAACCAGAGAAGTTGCTGACTAAGCATTCAATTACTATCTATAGTAATTATACAACTGTGTGACTGAAAGGGCAGCTGCATCTGCAGTAAAATGTAAAGTTTTGGGGAGACAAGGTTTGCAGTAAGTAGAATTAAACAAATGTCTTACCCATCTGACTGTGTTCTTATTTCAAGCACCTTGAACCTCTGCCTTCCTATTGCTTTCACCTTGACTGTTTCAATTCCATATTCCTGCTCTTCTCTGTAGGCATAGATTTCTGCTGTTGTTCCAAAATGTGCTTCCCTTTCACGTACGTTACTAAAATAACAGAATCAAAGGTAAATTTAATCAATTACCCACCCTCCAAACAGCTCATTCAAATTCCAGGAGTCAGTCTGCCTGCACTGACTATACAGAATGAGTCTTATCAAAAAAGTAATTTTGGTTAAATGCTTTCAAGTAATCACAATTATTTTTCCTTAATTCCTTTATTTAGTTTTAAAAGCAACTTCTAATTTTATTTTTTTTTTATGGTTGGGGGTTTTTTGCCAGTTAACTTGGTTTTATTTTAGGGTCTATAGGTGACATTCTAGGAGCACAGGCATTACCAGTGTATCTGCCTCTCAAATGCAGATACTTAAAGGACCAACATTCTTTAGATGGACTTTATAAAAATAATTGTTATCACCTCCCACATAATTAAACCATAGTAATCCTGGGGGAGGAAGAAGGAAAAAAATTCCCAACTTCTTTTAGCACTGATTAGCCTTCATCTTTTCTGCTTTTTTATCACCTCCTGTGTCCCAACTCTACCATGAAACATTTGTCTGTGCTTGTTAATTTATACACAAAACAAGCAACAATACAGCTCTTAAAACAAGAACATGATTTTTCCACTTCAGGTCCTGGCTTATTCTTTAAGTAAGATGGAACAAACAGTTCCCAAAATCAAGAGGATGCTCATACAAGGAAGCAGATCAGCACTCGCTGTTTCTCTACACAAAAACGTGATGCTGTCAAGCACCAACCCGGCATGACACGACAACCTTGTGACACACTAAAAGGTGATTTTGGGCAAACAACCTCAACGTACAACTCGTTACTCAGCACAGAACCGAAGCAACCACCTGCTTTTGGTTTAGTATCCCAAGAAGCAGCGCTCCAGGTGCCCGTGTGCTGTACCTGTAGGCGAGCACGGCGAAGGTCCTGTCCCTCTGGATTAAGTTGCGCACCATGCTGACCTCCTGCGGGTGGAAGAGCTGCAGGGGCAGCGTCTGCCCCGGGATCAGCATCACCATCACGTGGGGCAGCACCGGGATCACCTGGCAGCTGTCGTCGTCGTGGACCGTCCTCCCGTGGAACTCCTCCATGTCGGAGCCTAAGTACTGGGAACAGGGCAAGGACAGTCAGAGAAGGGCCTGGGGGGTTGCGGGAAGG